GGTGTTATATATATATATATATATATATATATATATTCCACATGAGCCAAACAATCTAAGCATCTACAGCCGGAAAATCCTAGTCGATGGATATCTCCAGCTCGAAAATTCAAGATCTCAACCGCAAAGCAGAAGTGGACAAACGGTGGTACAATATACGCGACCTTTTCATATCAGCGAAACATTACTTATTTTTGGCTTGATAAAAAGCATCCAGTGCAACTCATTCGGCCGCAGAGGTGAACCAGCCGTCACACTAAGTCTTTTCGGGGAGGACAAAAGATGAATGGAGGGACGTAAGGAAATTCACAGAGAGATTGGACAGAGGTGTCTCTCATCTTCCAGGATGGAGCCCGAAAATCTTCATGAACGGTTGGTTGGAGACACTGAGAGGCAAGGCAATAAATAGATAGATAGACACGATCTTCTTGTTGCTACTTTTTATCAAAGTCAAAGTTTTATTATGGGCATTACTTACAAGCAGATGCTTTTCTTGTCCCATAGGGTGTTAAAACGAGTTGAACTGTTACAGTGATGAACAAAATTCCATATGCTGCATTTGGTTGTTTTGTGTTCTCATGGATATTGGAATGCAATGTTTGTTAATGATTCGTCCAGTTTTACCTTGAAAGAATCAAACGTCTCGGTACATACAACATGAGATGGTAGGGAATTCCAGGTTGTGCACACTCTGACGGCAAAGGAATGACGTCGGCAGTCCAGTCGAGATTTTGGAGTAGTAACTTGAATGGATGTCCCCGTAGATGATCGTTTGATGACAACGTCAGAAGTCGGCGACAAGGGTGGTTTGGGCTGTGTAATATTTGGTACACCAAAATCAAGTCTCCTCGAATTTGAAGATACTGAGCAGAGTATAGATCCAACGACTGCATTCTCCCCATGTATGAATCGTAATAGAGTCCTTTGACCATCTTCGTGGCGAGCTTTTGTGGACGCTCCAAAATTTTATGATCACGTTGTAACCATGGCTTCCAGGTTTGGATGGCATACTCAATATGCGGCCGGAGGTATTATGACAGCAGATGTGAGAATAGCGATGGTTCAAAACGACCGAAAACACGTTTAAGTAGACCGACATGTTTGAGTGCGGTTGA